AGTTCTCCGGTTTGGATCCTGGGTGCGGACCTACGCACTGCTCATCAAGCCGTATTGTGGTGGCATCCTACATAGAAGGACTAGAACGACTTACAAGTAGGATATACAACTATGTACTGGGGCTTTGGGAGGAAAAAAAAAGAGGAAGATTGGCAACTTATGTTAGCTCAGGGCCAATCTTCCTAACCTCCCCCCCCCTCCAAAAAAGCATAAAATATGGCCTCCAAATTCTGTGACACTCCTCTCATTGAGAGGCAGGGTCTGTGTCCCCTCCCCTTGAATCTGGGTGGCCTTGTGACTACCTTGACCAGTGTGGTTCAGTGGAAGTGACACTGTGTGACTTCTCAGGCTTTGTTCAGGTTGTTAGAACACTTATACCAGGAGCCCTGAGTCACCATGTAAGAATCTCACTACGCTAGAGTTTGGCAGCCATTGAGGACTGTTCTTCTTGGGTGCACTACCAGAGGGGTGGGAACTCTTTCTTCTAGTTCAATAAAAATTTATTGAGTGGAGTTTCAAAATGGTAGCCTGAACCCAAACTGGCCTTCCCTCCCTCACCAACAAAACATGGCAAAAACTCGAAAGATAAAATAATATGAGTTGCACTTCAATTATGAAGGGATACTCTTGGCAAACCAGAAATGATGAAACATCCTGAAATTAAGAAGGAAATGGAATGTGACAGCCATGAGCTGAAGTGCTTCTGAGTTCATGCCCCAAACATATGCAGAATTGTCTCAGAAGAGGTGTGCACAATCAGGAATCACCAACCAGTAGACATTTGTCAAGCACTTACTATGAGCTAAGCCATTATCACTGTTACCTGCATATTTTCACAGTCAGCGCTTGTTTAGAGTTACCCACTTTTGCATTTTCTTTGCTTTGAGTTCAATTTCCTTCTTCCTGCAGGACAGTTTCATAGTGCTTTCACCAAAGGCCTGTGGGTATTAAGTCTTTTGCTAAAATATTTTTATTTCATTCTCCCTCTTAAATGATAATATAGCTGGGTAGAGAACACTGAAGTTGACATTTTTGCTTGGTACATGGAAGATACTTAGAATATTCTCTTATTTTCTGGCATCGGTAGTTGCAGTTGAGAAGTCTGTGGTAAGTCTAATTGTTCTTTCGTAGGTGATGTGTCTCTTCTCTCTAATTACTTTTAAGATTTTATTTTGGTGTTCTGCATTGTAATATGATATATCTAGGCATGCATTGTTTTTATACTATTTGCTTGGGGATTGCTTCATCCTTATTTTCAATAATGATGAAAGATTCATATTTTTCATCATTATTGAAAATCCTTGGCTGTTATATCTTTTAATATTACCTCTTCCCCATTCTTTCTGTTCTTTTCTATTACAAATTTGTTGGACCTTCTCATTCTGTCTTCTTTTTCCCTTAATTATCTTTTGTACTTTCCATTGTTTTATCTCTCTGTACAATCTTATGGATGATTTCCTCATAGCTGCTTTCTAATTCAATAATTCTCTTTTCAGCTCCATCTAATCTATAATTTTACCCATCCATTAAAATTTTAATTTTGATGGCTATATTTTTTCATTTCTGGAAGTTTTATTTAGTTCTTTAAAAAATCTGCCTGGTATTTCATTATGATTTTTACTTCTTCTCTTTTATTAGTTTAAATATACTTATCTTATAGTCTTTCAGAATGTCCAATTATCAGAAGCTCTTGGGATGCCATTTCTCCTATTCGTTGTGTCTGAAAATTCTAGCTCATGGTAAACTTTTCTTTGTATGGTTTGTCATTTTCCTTGGTGATTTCTTTCTCTGTGGGAATCCTGTACTGCCCAAGTTGTACGAATGACCCTACAGAGAAGTTTTATTTTGGCTTTGCTAGGTGCCCTGGAGGTATCACCAGCCTGGGATCTATTTTTTATTTGTTAATTTTTTGACTTGGGATTGCTGCACAATGTGGGGGGGTGTAAGTCCAGCTCGAAACCATCCCCTGTTGCAAGCTTGGTGTTTGATTTCTCTTGGGAGAACAGGAAGAAACAAGCTGCATTGCTGTGTCACTGGGCTGGTGGGGAGTTTTTCTAAAGCTCTTCTCACTAAGCGTGCCGCTCTTCAGAGATCCAGAGGACTTCATGCAGGATTCTCACTCCTAACTTGACTTGAGTGATCCCAAAGGTCTGCCCCTTGTCCCTGTAAGCAGGCTAGAGCTGAAGCTCCTTGCCTCTAGGGGTGTTTTCCAGTCTAGAAGCCCTCTGCCCCCATCTGGGGTTTCAATGTCAGCTCATGCGCTTTCAGTTCCCTCTATTTCTGGTATCTAGGGATTTCTCTTTCTTGAGAGCTAGAAGTTGAAGAAAATGGATACTTTTTATTAGTTATTTTTAAATCTAGAATTTCTGTGAGTTTATGATGGAGGACTCTTTTTTTTTTAATAGCTTCGGGTCACAATGAACCTTTCCAAGCTCCTGGCATATGTTCTCTTGTATCATCCTTGCAGGAACTCCATGACACAGATGTTATTTATCACCTTCTTTTCACGCATTAAGACAGTGAGACTTGGAAAGTTTAAGTCTTGTCCAAGATCAGACAGGTAGGAAATTGCCTCATCAAGATTTGAGCCCAGGTTTCTCTGATTCTGTTTAATGTAGCACTTAGGAAGTTATTGATAATGATCCCCTCCCCCCGTCATTTCATTAAGAAAATCTTCCAGCATAATACCTATACTATCCACTCAGATTCTACAATTATCATTTTGCTATATTTGCTTTATTATATATCTGTCCACTTACCCATCCTATTAATCCAACTATCCATCTTATATTTGGATGCATTTCAAAATAAGTTGCAGACATTAGTATACTTTATCCTTAAGCAGCCAGCATGCACATCATTAACTAGAGCTGAATATTTGTTTATGGTTCTTTTTTTTCCCTAGCCACGAATGAGCCAATATCAACTCTGTGACTAATGCATACACCTGTATAATGCAAATCTACATCAAGACACAGAACACGATCATTTCTGCGGGAAGTTCCCTCCTCCCGCCCCTTCCCAGTCAACCCTGCACCTACCCAGAGGCAACCACTCTTGATATTTCCCCCCAAGGACTAGTTTTGCCTGTTCTGGAAATTCATGTAAATGGATTCTTGCCAGGTATGCTCTTTTGGGTCAGTATTCTTTCATTCAGCATACCCATCTTGAGATTCATTTGTATTGTGTGTGTACCAGCAGTTTGCTCCTTTTTATTGCTGAGGAGTATTTCATTGTTTGCCTATAACGTGGTTAGTTTATCCAGTCTTCTATTGTTAGACCCCTGGGCTGTTTCAGTTTTTGGATATCAATGATAAAGCTGCTATGAACATTTTTATAAATATCATTTTTTGACCAGTTTCTATGTCATGGGAGTGAGGGGAGTAATGTAGCAGCCAGATTGCAATTAGTTGAGCGAGATGAGGAAGTGCAAAGAAGGAACACAGACAATTTTCTTAAGATGAGTAGATGAAAAGTGAGGAGAGAGAGTCATAGCTAGAGGGATGTTCAGGGGTCAGGGGTGGTATATAGATGTATACCATATATGTAAAATAAATGATATATCATATAAATATATGTTTAATGACAGTACATAGAGTATATTATAATAGAAATAATATGTATTATTTATAAAATATATGTGTATAAATATCTATATTTCTATTTGCTGAGAATAATATAAACATGTTTTTATGGGGGAGAGGGAAAGGAGGGGAGAGAGGGGATGGGAATCCTAGCTTCTGTGGATAGCCCATGGCTACCCTCCTCTTGGCCCTGGTCTCAGATACTGGGCGGAGCCTGTGGTCCCTGTGGCTGCTCCCTGGCTTCTGTCAGCAGAGTCTCAGGTGTGAATCTTTTCCTCTGCCAGTCTGATGTCCAGATTGGCATCAGCATCCTGACACTGAAGGGACAGCAGAACTCTGTCGTGGCCATCTGCTCAGATGGTTGGTGCTCTGGGGGTACAGCAAGTGTTAGCGGGAGATGGGATGGTGGCTTCGGCTGGGCAGTGGGGAAGAGCCTGCTCTGAATGTTGGGCCACGTCTTGTGGGGATGACTGCATGGACCTTGCCACGGGAGAACCGCTAGGATTCCTTCCAGGGCTACGAAACTGTGGCCTGGGGGAAGGGCTGATCCCTCCCTTGTGAGCAGTTGCCCGTTCGAGCTCCTGGGCCAGAGACCAGCTGCTGAGACACGTGCAGCAGTCAGGAGCAGGGGCCGCCCGTGGGTTCGCTTCTGTCCACCTCTGATTCTCAAGATTATTTGTTAGATTGAGAAAAGAAAGTCTGCTTCTTAAAATAAAAATTTTACTGGGTGCAGACAGGCAGGCAGATTTGAGCAAGGAGTTCTTCTAACCACCGCTTTCTGGGTGAGGTCAGGCTTGCTGGGGAACTGCCTTTCCCATTGGACCCTCAATACTGGGTTTTTCTTGCTTTAAAAACTTCCCATTTATTGATTTATATCACACACATATATTTTTCTCTTTAAAAAAGTCAACTCTACTGGGGTATAATTTTCATACAATAAAATGCACCCATTTTAAGTGTATATTTTGATAAGTTTTGATGCTTTTAAAACCCATGTAATGAACACCTCACTCAAGATGTAGAACGTTTCCATCACCCCAAAAAGTTCTTTCGTGCCTTCTTCATCAGTCTCCTCCCCCGCCCCAGCCCTGGAAAACCAATGATTTGCTTCCTATGACTATAGATTAGATTTGTTTTCCTGGAGATTCAAATAAGCGGAATTATACGGTGCATTGTCTTTTGTATCTGGCTTCTGTTGCACAGCGTAATGTTTTATAGACTCTTCTGTGTTGTTGAGCGCATCCGTTCATTCCTGTTGATGTCTGAGTAGTATTCCGCTGTGCGTATGTATCCCAGTTTACTGAATAGGTACAGACACGTTGTTCCAATTTAAAACGTCTTTCCTGTCCCGTTGCCTAACCAGCCAGTTCCTCTTCACAGGCGTCCAATATTACCAGCTTGTTGTGTATCCTTTTGAGCTGCTTTAGCATTTAGAAACAGATATGTGTGCAGGATCCTCCTGCAGAACTTCAAAAAATATGTCTAAGTTTGCATGTGTGTGAGTATAATCTTAGAGGTGGAATTGCTGTATTAAAGCATCCATGTACGTGTAATTTTGACAGCTATTGCCAAATTGCCCTCCACTGAGGTAATACAGGTCCCTCGCACCTTCTTTTTTTAAAAAAAATTTAAACATAGAGAAAAATGAAAAGAATAGGATAATGAACACTCGGGTGGTACAGAGTTTTAATGGTGATGGCAGTCAGTTGGTCTGAGGAAGATAGAGACATTGAAGTCTGCAGGAAAAGTGAACCAGCAAGGTTATTTTGTACACATGGAAGGTTTTCAGCTTCACACTTTGTGGACCTCGAGGGACCCTGCTTTCAGGCACCGGGTCTTTGGGACCTGCTGTCCTCTCTCCTGGCTAGGTGACAGGCTTCTCCTCACTCGGGTGGGGCTCGGGGTTGGGATGTTTCTGTTCAGCGTAGCTCGCTGGGTTCCTGACCTGAGATGGGCATGACAAGGACTCTAGCCTGGCCCACAGGAGCCCTGACTCTAGGAGGGGGGTGATTGAATTGGCACGGGCAGGAGGCCTGTGTGTGTATGTGTGTGTGTGTGCGTGTGTGTGTGTGTGTGTGTGTATAAACCATCCACTTCCACGCTCCAGCCCAGGTGGGTCTAGAAATATGCCAACCTGCTGCCCTTGCTCCTCCAGTGGCTTCTTCAGGCTTCTTGGAGCAATAGCAAATCCTGACAGCAGCCTATAAAGTCCAGAGTGGTCTGGCCCTGTGGCCCGCTGCCTCCTCTGAGGAGCTCTCCTGGGCTGCCTGCACTGCAGCCACCCTGGTGGCGCTCCAGTTCCTGTCATCCTCCTTCCTAAGTCACGCTGTTCTCTGTGGCTGGGAGCACCCCCTTATGCCCACCTGCCCCTGGGCACCCTGGCTTCTCCTAGTTAACATTGCTTCCTCCTTCAGGGCCCCCCTGCCTCCAGGAAGCCTTCCTTCACCCCCACACCAGGTGGAGCCTCCTGGTCCAGTTCCCCACAGCATCTATCGCTATTCACACTGTTGTATTTCTCTGATGTGACCTTTAGTGTCATTTCTCCTCTTACTCCTTATGTCACACAGGCGGGGACCATATCTGTTTTGTGCACCATCCTCTCCTCTGTGCTCTACCAGAAATACACGTCGTCGGTGCTCAGGCGATGTTGTGAAGTGAACACGTGAGGCATTCTGACAGCACAAGGAGGTAGTGTTTAGTCAGAACTGGGGGTGAACTCTTTTCCTGCATCTTGGCACATTACCTAACCTCCCTGAGCTGCAGTTTCCCCATCTGAAAAATGGGTACAATAACACTGCCCCTCGGAGCTGTTGGGAGTACTCGGAAAGTGCCGGGCAAGTAGCAGGTGCTTGAGCCCTGGTAACTTTCAGAGCATCATCTTTGATGTGAAGCCATGAGCACACTTGTTCACAGGCAGCTTGTGCTCCTGGTGACAGACGACAGCTGGCCTCAATGTCTGGGGTCAGGCTGGGCCACAGGTGGGGGCTGAGTGCCCCCCTGCCCCGGGAGTTGAGAGGGATGCTGGAGCTGGGTGGTTGAGGAGGTCTCTGTGCCATTTGGCAGCTGCCACCAAGACCTTGGAGGGAAGACAACCCTGGGGCACCTCCGGTCACTGGCCTCTGCCAGGGCAGTAGCGGGGAGCAGCAGGGAGCCATGGGAACAGGGGAGGCCAGGATCCAGGTGGCCCCAGGAAGCTGCAGGCCCTGCTGGCAGGCGGGAAAGACGCTGATGAGAATGTCTGGGCCCTGGAGGGGATAGGGTTTCTGCCGCCTCCAGCTGCCCTAAGCCGGCTCTGCTGTTTTCCAGAGGGACCCAATTACCACCCCCTTGTGGAGCCAGGGCTGCCAGAGATCCTGGGGAGATAGAAGGTGGCTCCCAGCAGGGCAGGAGGGACCTTTTAAGCTCCCCTAACCATACACCTGTTCCTGATCATCTGAGATTGGGGGCCCGGTTTGGGCAAAATGTTAGGGCCTGTGAACCTGGTCCCTCAGGCACAGAACCTCAGGTTTTCAAAGTGTTCCCATAAGTACTGACTGGTTTGATCTTCTTCACAGCTTGAGCACTGCCTTGGCAGGGTTTCTTGGCCTCCTTGGACAGACAGTGTCCCTGTGGTCCAGAGGGAGGGGAAGCCAGTTGGCTACAGTCCCCCGGCGAGCAAGTGACCCAGTATTTCTGTCTCTGCAGAGCCTCTTCCCTGTGCCATTTGATCAACCAATCAACATACAGCAAGACTTTCCAGCTTGCCACAGGCCCCACCATGCCCTCATGTGTGCCACCAGGCTTGCATCCCTCATTGATGTCACCTGCCTGGCCCTTGAAGGTATTTGAGCAGCAGCCCCTCCCCAGCATGCAGTGTGTGCCCAGCTTTGTCTTGGGTGCTGGGAAGGATTCAAGGAAAGGTGGAATGTTCTCTGTCCCCGAGGAGTGGAAAGCCAGATATGCCCTCTGAGAGAGCAACTCACAATGTTGGGTGTGCTATCAGGAGGCCATGTGATGCCAGGCTGGGCCTTGAACTGGGCCTCCTGGGAGTTGGTTAGGCTCAGAGAAGGGAGCCTACAACAGCAAGTGTGAGGAGGAAAGAAGAAGATCAGGGTCTCACAGGATGGAGAGAGGCACTTTCTGTGTAGAGTGGAGGGAAGTTTGGACGTTACATGGCTTAAAATCCATTCATTCCCCAAACGTTTTCAAGAACCTACTGTGTGTCAGGCACCCACTAGGCACCCTGCATACTTTATCTGATTTCATCCTCAGGACAGACATGGGGAGGTAGACATTTTCCCCATTTAAAGAGAACCAAGTATGAGTATACAGATGAGGTCTCTTGAAGTTAAATGACTTATTCAAGCCCGATGACTGATTCCAAAACCCATGCTTTTCCCATGCAGAAGGCTTCTGGGGAAGGTAAGACGTAGGTACGTGAGGGGACAGATGAGAGGATAAGTCTCAGGAGGCGTTAGAGGTGGTAGGAACAGAGTGAAAGCAAGGAGGCAGGACTGAGTTGGCTGTGCATGGCAGTCAGTGAGGTAAAAGGTCTGATTGATGCAGAACTTCCTGTTCGGGCCCCAGTACCTTCATCAAGGGTCTTCTTTGACCCACCTAGGGGCCCAGCTGCTTGCTGCCTGTCTCCTTCAACAAGCCAACCTCCTCTCCTGCTGGCGCCCCCTGCAGACTTTCTGCTACTGCTGGGCTCTTTTCTGGTTCTCATTTGCTGTTCCGCCACCTGAATGTTGTCCTCTATGCTCCCCACATTTCCAAATCCCGCCTATCCCTTCGTGGTCCACTGGAGGTTTCGCTTCCTCCAGGAAGCCCTCTCTGACCTTTGCTGTGATCTCCTTCTCTCCTCTCAACTCCAGTTGTCCTGGTTCTTAGCTGAGGGTGTCTGGGCCCCTTTCTAAAGTCTGTCTCATCTCCCCAGTTTATAAGCTCCCCTGGGTCTGGCAGAGGCCACATCTCCCTCCCACTCTGCACACCCCACAGGCCTCATGGCTGGTGGTAGACCATTGATACAGCACTGCTGCAGGCTGGGCGAGAGGCCAGCCATTCACACAGATGTTCTGATTTGGTCCTCACAGCATGCCCTGGATGCTGACCAGCCCTGAGTGTAGAGCTGACTTGAACAAGGTCCCTGCTCACAGGCACCACGGTAAGAGATGTGAATGTGGGATACCGTGGGCCTGGTGAGGTGGCTGGCTCCTTTGTAGATGCCTCATAGCACACCTGCCTCTTGTTTTTCTGCATGCTGGTGGCGTTTGTGTGTGTGTGTGTGTGTGTGTTCCCCATAAACCCATGTCTGCCTTTAATCAATTTCTACTTGGAAAGTGAGCCTGGGTGGCCACGGTTTGAGATGGTACCCACCTCTTGGGGTCCAGATAAGCTCCTCTAGGGTGATGAAGGGATTGTCGGGCTCCTTCGTCAGCCCCAGCGGCCCACAGCTCAGATGTGCAGCCCTTGGGAAGCCCTCAGCCTGGGTCCTGGCCTCACTGAGGCCCCGAGGCCCCCATCTTCCTGCCCAGGAGGGATGAACCAGCCTGGAGGCAGGCAGCAGAGCAGGAATGCAGCCTCTGCTAGCTCCTGACAGGGCATCTCTGGGAGGCCCCCAGATCCTCAGGGCTGCGGCTCTGCCGGGGAAGCGGGGATTAGGAGCCTAATTCCGCCGAGAATCCTGTTTTTCTTAGCCTCACACAGATTGCTCTTTGGGAAAGGCCCCTCATCTAATTAGCCTGAGTCAACAGCTCCATTTATTTGGACACGTGATGTTATGAAACGGGCTGCTGCTGGTGTGTTTTCGTAGCGCATATCTGGACTGCCCCTCCAGGATGGCATCGGGAGGCTGCCTGGCCCGGTGAGTGTCCAGCCCAAAGGGGCCACCACCTGAGGCCGCAAGGGAGGCCGCAGATTTGCTGGCCAGGCAGGGACTGCTCTCTCTCGGATTTCATAACAAGAGAGTGACCCACAGAGTGTCCACACATCCAGCTTCCTCTCCCGTTGGTGTTTTTGAACCAAAATAAAGAAGGGATTAGGGGCCCTTTGATCAAAACTCCTTCCTCTGTACCTCGTGAGAATCAAAAGGGCCTTCTCCATGGGGCTTTTGATGGTGACAGGGCCTTTACCACATCCCTAAGTACCAGCACTTTTTGAGGAAAACATGAGTAAAAATAGTTACCATTTATTAAGCATTTACTATGTGCAATGTACCAAGCAAATTATAAAATAAATCACACCCACACACACACTCACACCCACACACATGCTCACATCCATACACATGCACGCACACACACATTCCCATCTTTTCTTCTCTCTGCCTCTCCCCTCACGCTGTTATCCTGATCTGCCTGGTGAAAGTGAAAGCCCCTCTCCGTCTCTCCCACCTTCACTCCCCTCCCCAGCCTTCACCCCCCCCTACTTTGGTGTTGGTCCTTCCCGAGTCTTTTCCATGCATTTGTATACATACACATCATATGTTATTTCTAACTGTAAAAGCAACCCATCAAGGAAAGTACTGCTACCTCCATTTCACAGATGAGAAAACTGAAGTGCAGAGAGGCTGAGCGACTTGCCCCAGGTCACACAGCCAGGAAGGAGCAGAGCTGGGTGTTCAGGCCTGTGTGACTCCAGAGACTGGCAGGAAGATCCTCTTCCTCTGGCCGCCCCAACTCCCAGCAAGTCACAGGCTTTGGTCTTAGTGAACTGTAGTGGGCTTCTTGCCGCCCCTTCTCTGGGCTGTTATTTTTGCTAGATGGGTCAGTCAAGGTGGGCATTTGACACGCTGGGCCGCATGGAAGTCACCCTGGAGAAAGGGGCAGAAGCTCTATCCTGCTGCCTCCTTCCTGTGCCCTGACCTCGAGTTCCTACTGACCTAACGTTTGCCTGGACCCTTTCTGCGTGTGCATACCAGAGCCGAAAGGAAAGAAGGAGGACCAGCCAGGGTGGCCTTGTCATCCTTTCCCCAGAGCACAGAGCGCTTGGGGTGGAGTGTTCATCCCCTTTTGGCCAAATAGAACATGTGTGAACAGCAGCGGCTCAGCATAGCGTTTTGGGGCCCTTCCACGCGTGGTGAGTCTGGGAAAGCAGGGGTGGTTGCCCTCCTGCCTCGGAGATCAACCCGGTGGGAGGAACGAGCTCCTAAGTGTTTTCCTCTTTAGAATGGGGATCTTGGCCAGGAACTGCTGTGTGTGTAAGATCCTAAAACTAATTCTCACCATTGATGTAGGCTGGAAAAGCAGAGGATCGGGAGAGGCGGGAGCCCAAGGGACATTGCCTGATGGATTAAAAAAACAAATTCCAGCGCTGGGCCTGGAAGCTTCTTAAAAAGGTGATGGGCCCTTACTTCCTGTTGAACTTTCCAAACCTTCTGAGCCTGCACTTTGCGCCCTGGAGTTTATCGGGGACGCTGGGGGCCAGGCGTGCAGCACGACTAGAGTTACGGGGACAAAGCTGGAGGTGGGTCAGCCCTCCACAGGGGAGTCCCAGGGGCCTGCAGGCAGCCACTGCCACCAAGAACTTCTAAGGGCAAGAAAGGGAAGCCTCGAAACCAAACATCCCTGCACGGTCCCGGGCAAATGTGTTCCTCATCAAGGCAGAGGCAAACAAAGTTTATTAAAAAGCCTTCCAAAGGACATTCCAAATCACCAGCAGGCCCCTGTGAGGTGACCGTCCATTCTCCTGCGGACTCTCATTCCAGCCTCATTGGAGGTTTCCAAACACAAGTCCCCAAAGTGTCCAGGAAGGAAAATAAACAGGGGGCTCCAGTGGGCGCCCTGCGGCTCAGGGCGACCCGGCTCTCAGTGCAGGCCTGTGCTTTCTGACCCCACAGTCGCGGGGTTGAGAGGAGTGACCCGGGAATCGAGTACAAACAGGGCAGGGAGGCCTCTTGGCTTGTGGGGTGGGCGCCCCCGCCCCCCCACGTCCTAATGGCAGCCCACCAGGCAGAGGAAGGCCCCCTGTGGTTGCAGAAATGGCCGCTTGGCACAGTGGGGTAAGTTCCACACCAGGAAAGTCATGTGTTATTTGCATTCTGGGAGGAGGAGGCCTCTGCCTCCAAGTAACTGGAAGTTTCCTCCTCTGTAAAACTGGTGATTTTCCTGATAGATGGGAGTGGGGTTTGCTCTCATTAAAGTAGGGGCTGGAGGTCTCAGAGCCAGTCCACGTGTTTCCCAAAGCATGTCAGGGTACGCCATGGAACCAGGGCCCTGCGCAGCATGGTTTAACGCCCCCTCCTGGTGTTTAAACTAAGATTCTGTGATTTTTCAATGATCTGAATGTGCAAGTGGACCAACAAGCAGGTTGTGAACCACAGTGTATTGCAGTGCTAGTACAAGGACCGGGGAGAGCTCAGTCTCTAGAGGCACACAGGCCTGCATTACCACCACCACTCACCTGCATCACTGTGGCCGCTTCACGGCCTGAACTCCCAGAACCTCATGAAGGGGGGCTCATAGTCGTTGCCTCATGCCGTTGATGTGAGCATCTGTGCTGAAGCCTGAACCGTTAGTGAAGAGTCTGACATACAATTGGTACATAATAAGTGATAGCTATTATTATTTTTATTTGCTGGGCATGGCCTATGGCCATAGCACTGTTCAACATATTGGGGAGACAAGAGGGTATCTGGAGAATAAAGGAGGGGAGGAGGAAGAGAGAGAGCCCATGGAAAGTAGGAGGAACTTTGCTGCTGATAAAAATTACACCTGTAATGATTTGTTGAGAGCTTTCTACGAGTGGGTGCTGTGTATGGAGACTCTAGTCAGGCCCTCCTGTGACAATACCACACTTCAGGTTACTATGTTCCTTTTTTTACAGGGGAGGAAATTGAAACTCAGAAAGCTTCCATGATCGCCCAAATCCCAAGGCCTGTGCCATTGATTGAAGTTTGTGTCCTCCCCAAATTTGTATGTTGAAAAGTTAATGACCAATGTGATGGCGTTGGGAGGTGGGGCCTTTGCGAGGTGATTGGGTCATGAGGGCAGGGCCTTCATGAAGGGGATTAGTGTCCTTGTGAAAGAGCGTGGAGAAAGCTCCCAGGCCCCTTCCACCATGTGAGGACACAGCCAGAAGGCACAGGCTACGAACCAGGAAGTGTTTTCACCACACCAAACCTGCCGGCACCTTGATTTTGGACTTGCCAGCCTCCAGGACTGTGAGAAATAAATGTTTGCTGTTGATAGACTTATAAACACCTAGTTATAAAAGACCTTATAAAAGACCTAGTTCATGGTCTTTTGTTATAGCAGCTCAAATGGACTAAGACACCGGTAAGAGAAGGTGCTGGGACTCAGGCTGTCTGATACCGAAGTCTGGGCTCTCAGCCCCTAAGGGTCACACATCCCCGATTCTGAGGCCAGGAATGCCCTCCTCCCAAGTCAAAGATGGTCATGGTCTTGAGACACTGGAGCCCACCTGGGGCTGCCAATTGCGATGTTTGAGAACCCTTCCTGTCATGGCGCCGTGTACAAGCCAGGGAATGGTTTTGCCAGTTTGGGCAATCCCAGCTTTCTTGGTTCTAAACTAGTGATTCTCAACCCTGGCTGCACATTAATGTCACCTGGGGAGCTTTGAAAAATGCACACCACCCAGGCCACCAAGACCAGTCTCTTGGTGGGGCTGGGCATCAGGACCTTGTTGAACTCCCTGGTGATTCCAAGGAGCATCCAGGCCTGAGAACCCCTCTGAAGGGAAACAGCTGGCTTTCGGGCTCCTGTTCCCTTCCACTGAGGGGCCAGGCTGGGGGCTGGGAGTGGAGGAGGGTTTGAGGCAAGGAGGGGGCATGGGTAAGGAGGCAGTAAAAAGGGAGAGGTCGAGGCTGACAAAGAATGTGTGGGGTGAGGGACCCTGACAGCTTAAGTAACTGGATCAGGGTGCACACAGGGTAACTGGCAGAGCTGGAAATCACACCACTGACATGGTGGCAAAACCATTGGAACCTCTTGTTACTGGGGAGACCCCAAGGGTAGCTCGGGTAGAGCTCCCCAAGACCTAGTTCTGCATCCAGTTCTCGTCTCAATGCATCCTTTCTGCTGATTCAGCCGCATCCACGCCCAGGGCTTCTATCATTACCTGTATCCCAAATTTCTATTTTCAGAGCAGACTGTTCCATGGAGCTTCAAACCTAGACTGCAGTGACTCATCTGACACCTCTCTTGGATGACTCCAAGGCCCCCAGGGTTTCACATGCCCAAGAATAAACTCGTAACCACCTCCACCCCCAATTGGTCCTTCCACAGGGTCCCAAGCCCAGTGAATGGCACCAGGAATCGTGCTTGACTCCCCTCCCTCACTGCCCCGTGCGTCACCAGCGTTCTTGGTCTAACCTTCTAAGTACCCGTCCATCCTGTTCTCTTCTCTCCATCTTCATTGCCACCCTTTTAGCCAAGCTACCATCGCCTTTGGTAATTTCTTCTTTTTATTTCTGGGTAAGTTATTCTTGCTAATGTGATTATTTGATTTCTGCCTGCGTCTCCCGCCAGCTTATACACTGGGTAAGGGCAGGGGCTAGCTTTTTGGTGACTTTTGTATCCCCAGCACCTAGCACCTCATCTGGGCCTCAATAAACATTTGTTGAATACCTAAGTGAGTGAATAACTTTATTTTAAACTTTTGATTCCTTCTGGGGTCTGTCAATATAGCGGCTACTCCACTAGAGCTTGCTGCTTTCAGGCTGAAATCAAGGCTCACGTGCTTGGATGGCTCTGCATTCCATGAGGCCGAGGGGCAAAGTGGTCTTGTCTATGGAGGCTGAAGAGAGGGTCTGAGGGGACCACGTGCTCTGAGATGAGACACAGCCACACAACAGGGCAGGCGAATACACGCGCACACACACACACATATCCATCCTTGCTCAGCTCTTGCCTGCTTACTCCACAGACGTTATCTTTATTTGGAGAATCAATTATGAAATGAATCCCTAACTATTTCTCCAATAATGCAGCTAATAAAAAGAAAAGCTATTTTGATGGTGTCTGGTTTTCAGCTAAAAGGAGGGTCAAAACAGCAATTTTATCAGCTGCCCTTTGAAAGTGCTTCTCTTGGTCACAGCAGTTCACAGGGGGAAACATGATGATTCTAACCCTGTTCTTGCTATTGGCTCCTGCCTGAGGTGACAGATTGTGTTACCTCAGGACCAGGACATCCGTGGGTAGACAGCAAGGTCAAGTCAAGGTTACGTCACGCCGGCTCGGTCATCAGAACATGGCCCAACCCGCCCGCATTGCCTGCTCTAGTGAAATACCAGTCACAATGGTGGGTCTCTGGGATTCAGGCAGAAGTGGACTGTGGGAAGAAGGCCCAAGCCTGGGCTTTTGGCGCAGGCTCCAATTTCAGGACCCCCTCTCCTAAGATTTTTCTCCAAGAAAACTATCCCGGCCTCATGGTGGCAACTCTGACTGCTGTTTCTGCCTCGAATAGATGGAAAGGCCCTTGAGGGCAGAGACCATGGTCTTTCCAAGCCCTACCCTTGCTGTCTGGGCCTGTATGGGTGCACTGAAGTTCTTTGGGCAGCGAGAGAGGTATGACCATGAAATTGATAGAAATTAAGTACTGGGGTCAGAGAGACTAAGTCTGCCACCTGGACCTGCCACTTCCTGTCTGAGAACTTTGGGCAAGTTACTTAACATCACTGAGTGTCAGTTTTCTTACTTGTAAGACGGGGACCATACAGTAGTTATGTTACTTGCAGAAGATTTTGTGAGGAGGTTCAATGAGATAATGCAGGTAAAGCACAATAAATGCCAGTTTGTGGAATGAATGAGGGCGGAGTGCCCAGAATGCCCCTCCTTCTTGGATCAGGGGTCAGAGGAGATGATGGCACACACTGGAGCCCTTGGAGGTGAGGTCTCAGGCCTTCTAAGTTCACCACTCCTTTGGATCTGATTTCCAAACACAGAAAATAGAGACCACTGCCTTTTACTGCCCAGGCCCAGATTTAGAACCAGCATATTTTGCAGACTAAATGTCATCAGAAGAAATAAAATAGATTGCAGTATCTGTAGCCAGCAGCTCCCTTATTTGCATATGTATCATAGATACAAGTAGTTAATTTTATTTGTTCCTTTTACTAACCCTTTTTACTTAAGTATATTCTTTGGGGCTCTTAGTCCATCAAAGAGGCATTTAAGAGAAATTCATCAATGTTCTTGGACACCAAAGAGGAAATAAAAGCACAGTGCCCCACTTTCTGAGGTTAAAACACCAACCACCCAGCTTTGATGTGCTAACAATCCCTAATGAGGTCAGGAGAGCAGCCACCGCTTCAGCAAGTGCTCTAAAGAGGTTCTTGTGGACAGCTAGGCCCCCTGGTCACTAGCGTGAACACAGCTGCGAGACCATCTGACACAGAAGCCCAGGGCGTGGCCTGGCTTTGAAGAGCTTGTTACTTCTTAGGCTGCCATCTTGTGGCAGTTGCTCTAAGGTGAGTCGGCCTGTGGGTAATGGGCTTCCTGACTTCTCCAAAGACATGCTTGCCTGTGATTTACACAGCACTTGCATGCATTTCCTTATGGGTTACTCTGGGGTCCTAACTCTAGCTGTAGGAAAAGCGAAACGAACAAGATGACCTCAGAATGGGATCTTCTCCAATTGGGACATCCAGGCCAGCACTGGGTGGCAGGTGTCCAGGGGCAGTGTGGTACCAGGGCAAGAGTATGTACTACCATTTATTGAGCATTTACTATGTGCCAGAGATGGCTTAGCACTTCCCATACATCATTTCATTTAATACAACAACAGCCCTGTGAGCTAAGCCCTCCTAGCACCCATTTCTCAGATGAAGAAACTAAGGCATGGAGGTTAAGACTCTTACCAAAAGTTACAGAGCTAGTGTGTGGTAGAGTTGGGACTCAAAATAAGGTCTTTCTGACCCCAACACGTGTGCTCTAAACCCCATTGTGCAGTCGTGGGTGGGCTATAGAGCCACAAAGACCTGGGAGCCTGTCCTGGCTTAGCCACTTAGGTTACGTGAGGTTGGCTCAGTCACTTAACCTCTCCCACGCGTTTCCTCCTTTGCAAAATGGAGCTTCCTCACAGGGTAACTGCAAGATTAAGTGGGTTAATCGATATAGTCAGCACAGTGCTGGGCACCGGCGAGGGCTCTTCCTCCCCGTCCCTGAGGATGGGAGGAAGGGGAGGGGCCACCTCTCTACCCTAGTCAGTCTCCCACATTTCAGCCTCCTTTCCCTCTCCTGGGCTCCACAGGACCCTTTGCACTGATACCAGAATGTCTTTGATTCCTGGCAGTTTGATCCATTTCTCACCTTGGCCGCATGGGAAAGGCAGTACTGGCAGTGTAAAGAGCCCTTGGCTAGAATTTCGGAGGCCTTGGGTTCTAGTCAAGTCCCAGGTCTGAGACTTGGACAACTTCTGTCTCTCTGGCCCTCAGTTTCCCCATCAATAAAATGGAGGATTTGTCCGTATTCAGGACCAATGTGCATACGTGGTCTGTGTGCAGCCGCTGCCTGGGTCCGTACCCACTGTAGACATGTTACTCAGTCGCAGCATCTTTGTCAGTGATCCTGAATGTGGCTGCAGAGCCCTCCCCATAGAGGGAGGCAGTTGCTGTCAGCTGGTTAGAGTTGAAACAACAATGGAACCTCTTGGATGTTCCTGGAACAGTTAGTTGTTTGCTAAGAGTCCTTCCAGCTCTGACTCTACCGCTGAGTCTTTAATGCCCTGAGGGGTGGTACAAAGATCAGGGAGTCTGAAATGAGGGGAGTGGATTCTAGCTCCAGCCACATCACCGAGCAGCTGTATGACCTTAAGCGAGTTGCTCACACCCTCTGAACCCTGTTTTCTAGTTTGTAAAAAGGGAATCCTAACACATGCTCCGGCTGTTGGCATTGTCGTGAGCCTAAAATCACTGTAGCCTCCCTGGAGGCAGGGTCTGGTCCCTGTCAGCCCAGCTCCCCCAGTGCCTGGGACAGGGTCTGGTCTGGAGCAGATTCTCCATGAATTTTTGTTGAATTGAAGCATGGTGAAATATAAACCTGTAGAAATGGAAAGAACGACAACTCGGTGAAATCCATCTCTAGAAAAAGGCTCTAGTCTTTATGGCATATAAAGCTGCTCAGGGAGCCCTTTCAGCTTGCAGATTCCTGGACCCTACTGCAGGGAGCTGATCCAGGATGCCCGGGGTGGGACCCAGGAATCCACAGGTTCAACAAGCCTTCCTGGGAATTCTGCAGCAGGTGGCCCGGCACCCGCTCTGTGGGAAATACAGCTCCAGAGAGAGTGGGAGTTAAAATGAACAGAGAGGCCTCGGTTTGCCGGCAGTTGTTCTCAGGAGTTGAATTCCCACTTTGGGGTTCCCAGAGCCAGTGTGTCTGTGAGGCAGTCACCTGGAAGGACAGCTCCCTCCACCCTCATTGGCTGTCTCCTTGGGATGCCCCATCCTCAGCTGACTGATGCTCTTACCTGCGAAGTCCTCTGCGAGGTGCTTCGACCTGCGAGGCCCATGTAAAAAGCAGCCAGGTTAGGGGCATTTCCCCGTTTATCTCAAGTGAAATAGGAGGGTTGGGGGCCTAGGTTGCCAATGCTGCTCATCACCAATTATCCTATGTGGACCAAGTGCTGCTCTCCCCAACTCCGTCCACAAGCCTCAGACCAGGATCCTTGAGGAAGGGCAAGCAGGAGGCGGGTTGGCTGGGGCTCAGCCCGGGGACTCTGGTTGTGGTGGTGTGTATGTGAGAGGGTGAGAGGGAGAGAGAGAGACTCCTGATGTTGCCTGTCTACATGGTCCCCAAAACAACTGAGTGGAAAGTAAAAAGCAAGTTGAATGTTTTGGCATTTTTTTCTGCATGTTGCTAAACATGGAGGTCTTTGCAAACCCCCATGCACTGGATGGAATGGAAATGTTTCATCTGTATGTTTCAGGGTGTGATAATGCAGCTCGCAAGTAGATGACTGATTAAAACGTATTTTTGGATGATGTTATTTTACTTCACGGTCATATTTATCGTTGTTGTCATCATCAACATCATTAAGGCCGAATTCATGAATTTGTAACAGGTAGTTGGACTTTTGAGCTCTTATTAAAAATTCAAAATAAATCCAATTAAAATTGTAATTCTTTCCTTTTCCTCCCAGGACCTTTCCCCAGAGCTAACAAGTTCTGTTAACTCGTGGGCTTCTTATAAGGGTTAAACAAGTTAACACGTGAACTGTGCTTGCAACAGTGCCTGGTAAATTCTCATAAAAGGATGCCCATTTTTCTCTATGATTATTAGTATGACCACCACTACAGATACAATCCTGCTGACATAAATGCAACCAGGGCAACTCCTCAATTACCCCAGACCGATGGGAATTGTTCATCCTACAGACATGAAGTTCTCAGCCAGCTGATCCTTGTACTTTAAGAGAGGAGCTCTTTGTACTTGACCCACCTGGGACAGGGGGGCCATGCTGGACGCCCTTGCCTTTTTGAATAAAGCTCGATGGCACAGCCGAATGTTTCCCTGGTCTCCTGGGCTCCGAATTCAGAACTCCAGCTGGTGATTATCAGGCCACTATGTGGCCCACAGCACATGTCACTTGAGTTCTTTTTC